GCTGCCCCTGAGTTCCAGGAGGACTCCAGGCAAACACGGCCCTCTGCTGCCCCCTAGCGCCTGGCAGCTGGCCACTCCGCCGCCCTGGATTCTCCGACTGGAGCCTCGATGGGACCAGCCCACCGCCCAGGGCCCTGAGTCAATGGGGCTGGGTGGCCCCCCACCCACCGGAAGGTGCTCCGAGAAGAGAGAGGCCCCCAGTGCAGCGCTGCCTGGAGGAGGCCGCTGGCTTCCTCATCCAAGCCCAGGGAGGAGTGTGGGAGGCCCACACGCGCACACCCGTGCACACTCACACCCATGGACTCACACACTCACACACTCACACTCATATACACTCATACACTCACACACTCACACTCATACACTGACACTCAACACACACTCATACACTCACACACACTCACACACACTCATACACTCACACACTCACACTCATACAATGACACTCAACACACACTCACACACTCACACACTCACACTCATACAATGACACTCAACACACACTCATACACTCACACACACACACTCACACACACTCATACACTGACACACACACTGACACACACACGTACACTCACACACAACATACACACACTCACACACTCACACACACATAACACTCACACAAACTCACACACTCATGCTCACACACACACTCACCCTCACACTCACACACACACCCTCACACTCACACACACACACACACACAGGCCAAGCCAGTGTGGAGATAGCTCTGGATTAGGAGCCCAGCTCTCTGACTGTCTAAGCGTTAAAGTCACCCTGACGGGGAACCAGACGCAGGTGCACAGCAGCACGGCCGAGTTCCGCCCTCCGCGGGGAGGGTGTGTCAGCGCGTGAACATCCGATAAAGACAAGGCTCAGCCAGAGCCTCACGCGCCCGGTGCAGGCGGCTCAGCAGGTCGCATACGTCCGTGCGAGATGGAAAAGGCAGCCCTTCAGGAGAGAGAGGGGGTGTGGGGGGCCCAGGGCTGGGCAGCGTCCGCAGCGTTGACCCCAACACCACCATAAGGCAGTGGGACCGATGGACCCGGTCAGCCTGAGGCGCTTCTCTCTCTGAAAGGCCCTGTTGGAAACCCGAGAAGGCAAGGGGGCTGGAGCCAGAGCCTGCCAGGACGGTTGCCCTGCGGCTGGCCCAGCTGGGGAGGCCCCGAAAGGTTGCTGGTTTGATTCCCAGGTTGCCGGCTCGATCCCTGGTGGGGGGCGTGCAGGAGGCAGCCGATCCATGTTCCACTCTCACATGTTTCTCTCCCTCTCCCTTCCTCTCTCTCTAAAAATTAAAAAAAAAAAAAAAAAGGACTGTTAGAGCCCAGGGGTAAGAAACAAAAACCCACCAGACAGTGAGCTGAGGGCACGAGGGCCGCTCACGCAGAGGCCGAGCGATGGCTGTGGGAGCAGCAGGGCCCGCACCATCAGCCCCGGGGAATCAAACAAAGCCACAGGCGCTGTCACCGCACGCCCACCAGCCCGGCTAAAATAGGAAACGGCGGCACCCCAGCGCCGTGGAGGAGCGGGCGGC